GAGCGGTATTAGGAAGAACGTTTTAGGTACTCTTCTTGCTCAGGAAACAGTATTCGGATGGATACTAACCGGTCAGACGGAAGCAATTTCAATCACTAATAAACGTGTATCGTTTTTTAACGAGGTGACCTTAGACAAACGTCTAGCTTCGTTTTGGGAGTTAGAAGACTTTTCAAAGCACAAAACCTACAATAAAGAGGAAGTTTACTGCGAGGACCTTTATAAACGCACAACTAAACGGAACCAGGATGGCAAATATACAGTATCGTTGCCATTCAAACAGGATTTTCCAAGGTGTATACGCTTAGGACCCTCACTCAAGATAGCTTGCTCACAATTTTTTCGTAATGAAATCCGTCTATCAAAAGACCCTCCCCTACAAACTGAATACAGTAGGGTATTGTCCGAGTATGAAACGTTAGGACACATGACGCTAATTTCTGACCGTATTCCGGGTGATGAATGCGAAAATTACTTCCTGCCACATCATGCCGTTCGAAAGGAAGAGAGCACCACCACCAAAGTACGGGTGGTCTTCAACGCGTCATGTCCTACGGCTAATGGGGTGAGTCTTAATGATGTGATCCATCCTGGACCAGTCCTCCAGAATGACTTGACAATTCTAATATTACGGTGGAGATTTTTTCGATATGTTTTTAATAGCGACATCGAAAAGATGTATCGCCAAATATTACTAAATCCTGACGATACCAAGTATCAGCGAATAATTTTCCGAACAAGTCCAACCGAACCAATTAGGCTTTATGAGCTTAAAACTGTGACTTTCGGTGTCAACTGCGCACCCTACCTCGCGATTAGAACCCTGCTCCAATTAGCTGACGATGTACAAAACTCGCACCCTATTGCGTCGGACATCCTAAGAAAGTATATGTATGTTGACGATGTTTTAGCTGGCGGTCACACCATCGAAGCTGCCATCAAAGCGAAGGACGACATCACAGGAGTACTGCAGTCTGCTGGTTTTCCTTTAAGGAAATGGACTTCTAATTGCACTGAAATTTTACATGGTACACCGAAATCCCATCTGCTTAAAGAAGACTTCTTAGACTTCGAAGACACCAGCACAGTCAAAGCTCTGGGAATCAGATGGAACGCCCATTCCGATAATTTTTACTTTACAGCCAAACCAATTGAAAACCAGACTAGCTATACAAAAAGGGCAATTCTATCGGCCATTGCCAAATTATTTGATCCCCTAGGGTGGCTTGCACCATTTGTAATTACCGCGAAAATTTTAATGCAAAATATCTGGTTAGAAGGAACAGGGTGGGATGAAACTGTATCGTCAACCACGTTGGACCGCTGGAAAAACTTTAAGGAAAGCTACAGTTACATCGAAAAGATTCGTATCCCCCGTTGGGTACACTTTTCACCGACAACCAAAGTCGAAGTTCACGGGTTTTGCGACGCCTCAGAAAAGGCATATGCGGCCTGCATTTATCTTCGCGTCGAAATGGACGAAAAGGTCGCCATCAGTCTACTACTAGCTAAAACTAAAGTGGCACCAGTTAAAACGATTTCCTTACCACGATTAGAACTTTGTGGGGCGGTCTTGCTAGCCGAAATACTGGAATCGATGACCAATAATCTTAACTTAGCCAACCGTACAACTAAGATGTGGACGGATTCGACCATTGTCCTGGCTTGGCTACGGAAACCACCGTGCTCATGGTCAACCTTTGTTGCCCATCGAGTAACAAAAATAATAGAAAAGGTCGGAAAAGAAAATTGGTGTCATGTAGATTCAACATCAAATCCGTCAGACTTAGCCAGTAGAGGACTTCCGGCGCAAGAATTAGTAAACAACTCCCTGTGGTGGGAGGGCCCTTCTTGGCTGCAAGAAGATCACTCCAAATGGCCCACTGAAGAAAAGGACTATAATACAGTTATAGAAGAGAAAAGGGTGCAGGTACACGCAACAACAAGGCCAGATATCGACTTTGATATTATTGAAAGATTTTCTGATTTCTCGAGAGCTTTGAGAGTTTTATCTTATGTACTGAGATTCTCTCAAAGAACTCACCCAAAAACTAGAGCCTCTTTTCAGGCGAAATCTTGTTCAATTTCAGCTGATGAAATTAAAGCAACGACTCACCGCTTGATAATCATCTGCCAGAAGAAGCATTATTGGGAAGAATATTCAGCACTAAAATCCGAAACATCAATAGGTCAAAAGAGTGAAGTACTAACCCTTAACCCATTCATCGATAAGGACGGTATAATGAGGACAGGTGGTCGCCTAGGAGCATCTCGTGATCTCGCCTATAACGAGCGTCACCCAGTTATCCTGCCATACAACAGCCACTTGTCCCGTCTGATAGTTCAGTTCGTTCACAAAGTCTCACTGCATGGTGAGAATCAGCTCATGTTGCGCCTGATTCGAACACAGTATTGGATACCTAGGGTCAAAAACATGATACGGTCCACCATTCATAATTGCAAGGTCTGCACAATTTATAGAAAACGCGTGCAAACACAGCTAATGGGAATTCTTCCCAAGGAACGCACTACATTCTCACGAGCATTTACAAACTCGGGAGTCGACTTTGCAGGACCTTTCGACATAAAGAGTTACAGCGGACGAGGATGCCGGATGTCCAAAGGATATGTGTGCCTGTTTGTGTGCTTTGCGACTAAGGCGATCCATTTGGAAGCCACCTCAGACCTAAGTACTCAATCCTTCTTAGCAGCATTTGCTAGGTTCATAGCAAGAAGGGGCTGTCCAAGAAATGTCTACTCCGACAATGGCACTAACTTTGTCGGAGCCTCTAGAACTCTGAAATCAGAGTTTAAAGTCTTTATGGCCAATGCCCGCGGTGACACCTTAGCCAAATATGCCCATCAAATGGTTTCATGGCACTTTATCCCCGCTTCAGCTCCCCACATGGGCGGACTGTGGGAAGCAGGAGTTAAAAGCTTCAAAGGCCACTTCACTAAAATTGCCTCCAACCATAAATACACTTTTGAGGAATTTACAACCCTATTATGCAGAGTGGAATCATGTCTCAATTCTAGACCCCTGAGCCCCTCTTCAAATCAACCAGCAGACCTGGAGCCACTGACTCCAGGTCACTTCCTAGTCGGTGGACACATACTAGCTCCACCAGAAATAGACGCCGATGAAAATCGTGCATCGATCGTAAATCGATGGCAAAGATTAAAGGCTCTTCACCACATGTTTTGCAAAAGATGGAAATCTGAGTACCTATCAGAGCTCCAGAAACGCAACAAATGGAAATATCCACAAACTAATATGAGAGCTGGAGACCTTGTCATAATTAAAGAAGACAATCTACCACCAAATGAATGGCGGCTTGGGAGAGTGATCAACCTACACCCAGGTCCGGACAACAGGGTACGAGTGGTGGATATCAAAACCGACAGAGGCCAGATCACAAGACCTTTGGTAAAATTAGTCCTACTTCCGCCCTACAGTGAACAAGACGAGGAGTCAACTACCTCGTCTTAAACCAATCTTCTTTTTTTTCAGCACTGACCAAGGTCCACAATATAATATATAAATTTGAAATGCAAAATAGTTATATATATATTTGAAATGCAATTTATAAACATCATACATCCTTAAAGTACCCGCTTAAGGTTTGTATCAAAATGTGTGTTATTTCAACTTAAAAAGTATATTGGAATTCTGCGCAAGAATTTTTATATAGCCTTATTTAGAAAAAATTGTTAGCCAATTTGAAAAATCTCTAACATGTTGTCTGCCATGCATATACCATTGACACAATGTTTGTAAAGACTTTGGCGATCTGCGTACTCAAAAATTAATATGGAGTAAGTCAATCGAGATCCATGCAATACATATGCATTAATATCTATTCAGAAATTACTAGAAACAAAACAAAAACTGGCGTAAGTTATACGCAAATTTTCTCAAACAACGACCAGTGTATTGCTTTTGAACTAAGGAATATTAACATATCTTTACATACTGAAAATCGTGTACATTTTCTGCGCTTGCCGAGTTTTCTATTTTTAAGCTATATTTTTAATCTAAAGCTTGGTTAATAAATAAGAAATAAATAGAATCAAAAGAAGAATAGAATCGAGGTCCATTATTGTTAAATATATTTATGCATGCATGTACATATGTACATGTGTAAAACTGTAGTTTCGATTTAAAAAAAAAAAAAAAAATCGGATAAAGTTTTTCTTTCGCCATTCTTACACCTCTAATTTTAGTATTTATTAAAAAAAAAAAAAAACTCAATGAAATTCAAAAACTCTATCTTGCATTTAGTTTTACTCAATACCAATTTGAGCTGTCGCTGTGTATTAGGTTTATATTATCTATCATTGCAAAGAATCTAGTTAAATTTATGTCTAATTCGCACTTATTGTTGAAGTGTCAAGACCTAATCACACACTTAAGTTGCAGTAACATAATGCTCTATTCATAAATATGTTTGTAAATGCACCCATACATACATACATGCATGCATATGTACCCTGCAAGACAGCTGAGTATCATATGAGTACTCATATTATCATTACTCCTAATCACAAAAGTGCTTATCAAAGTCCTCATTTTCGTTCAGGCCATGGGAAAAATTTGAGTACTTTCCCCTCAATGTTGTCATCAGAAAGTCCTCAGTATTAATAGTCAAACTACTCATTTATGCCGTACTACAAAAACAAAAGTGTAAATGTGTGAGAGTTTTTGCCTAAAGTGCTCAGCAATGTCTTGTAGGGTATATAAAACAATATATTTAATATGTAATTGAAATTTTCACATCAATTTGCGCTATCTTCAAACCCATGGTTTAAATTGTACGCATATCGTCAGGGTTTTCCCCATAACTTGGTTTTGCTGCAGTGAAGCGACAGAACAAGTGACGAGAAAAGATATATGCGGACACTTATATGTATATGTATCTATGCGCATACGTATCTATGCGCATGGTATGTATCTATGCACATGCGTAGCTATGTATGCACATACGTATCTATGCGCATACATGCATGTGTGCTTAGGTATGTATATTAGCATTTTAGTTGAAAGTACGTTTTGCTCGTCGCTCTCTTCAGCGCTCCACTGCAATCCTGTCCTTAATTTTATTCAGATACCTCAAACGCACTCACCCCATCACTTATTCGTTGCCGCCTTCTTCGTTGTTGTTGCTGTTTAAGCATTTCCTGCCGCTGTAGGTACAAGAACAACACAGCAGTTATTGATGTGTTCGCAAGCAAACTATAAGCTCCGCCAATTGCAGACTGCGTAACTTGTCCCGACGAAGGGGATGTGCCAGAGTTGGTCGTACTGGTAAAATGCGCAGGTGTAAATGGTGGTGGCACTGTATTCGGTGGAATACTTAGTTGAAATCCATTGTGGTATATAAGATAGTAGGTGGCTTGGGTGGGAGTGCTAGATGGTGAAGTCACAACGGTTGCACCAGTGACTGCTGCGGTTGCTGAAGAATTAGGGTTGGACGTTGATGCTACGATCACCTTGGAATCGTTCTGCAAATTGCTTCCAGCAACAGACCCGCTGTTATTTGTTGAATTCGTTTGCCACCTACCGCCCGAAGTGCACAACCAAAATTCATGTTGAAACCACGGAAACCGCAGAATCTGTGAATAAAACAAACAGAAGATAATATTGTAGGATGGGAAAAAAATGTAAAGTTTAATTACATACATACATACAGAACCACTTACACTTCGGGCATCTTCTCTTTATCCATTTACCGGGCATTAATCCGTGCTGTGTGCTCAAGGCAAAGGGTTGCAAATCGATGCAGGCAAGCGTCTGAAACCTAAACTAAGTATATTAAATCAAACTATATACTACAAATTACTATTCTAACAAATTCCACTATACGAACCGTTTCTCCTCGTGATAGGTTATTTCTTGAATGACATTTCAGCCATTCAGGATATTGCCATTCATGAATTAGCAATGGCGCCATCTGTTGTATTCGAGACCAAATGCTTACGTTAAGCTTGCGTCATTGGGGATTTTTACTCAATCCGTCGAACTACGACAAGATGAAGCAAAAGGAAAAAAGTAATTTTCTGGCTGACGTTGGTAATTTCGACGCCATGTTATTTTCTTTTAAAAGTAAACAAAGAATATGAAGACTAGGCATAATTTTCTTAATTGCTATCACAAAGTATGGCTTTTATGCAAATTATAAATACTGCTCTACTCGACGGTCATCAACGCACAAATGGTTGCTTCTCGACCGGTCTGTTCTAATTGGTTCATGCCTCGCAATCTCTAGAAAAATTGTACTTTAATAAATTATCTTACCATTGTGTTAGATGATTTTTGATTGGAATACCAGTTTAAAAAATGATCGCGATGCGCAAAAACACGGTAATCGACATCAGGAATATTATGATACTCCGTATCACGTTTATCGATTATTACCACCGTTCTTGTTTGATACCGCGAAAACACGTTGTAAAAATGAAACAAACTATTACTCGAATCAGAACAATCATTTTGCGTGAACCTTTGACGTAGCAACCACCTCAACGTTAGCGAGCGAATTTTTTTGGGGTGGCAGGACCGTCTTACGATATTAACGTATCACGAATGGGAGCAAACAAGCAAAATCGATAACACCTGTCCACAATGTATCGCTTCAATATTTGAGGTGCCCATACACTTTTTATACGCTTGTACGATATTATATGCAGTTCACACTATCAATTTACAGTGTGGAATCAACATTT